TTATTTTGCCGGAAGTCGTTTATTTTTTTATATATTTGAGTTAAATTATTTTGCTTGTTTTTATTTATTTTTTTTATTTTAATTTTTATTTTTTATCTTATAGATTCATTTATTATTTTTATTTAAATCGGGGTTTTTATTAACGTAATTAATTTGTTTATATCGCTTGTTTAATAGTTTTGTTTTAGGCTTGGGAAAATAATTAAAGCTATTTTTTCAATTTTGGGGTTGATTGTTGTAGTTTATTCTATTATATATATATATATATATCAATGTGTGTTTGTCTCGTGGTTCTGGATATAAATTCTCGTTCTGAGTATCGTTTTACTATGAAATATTCGTTGGAATAAATATTTCCGTTAAGAGGCACTTTTAAATTGTCGCATGTGTGCTTCTGTATGTACACAGTCGCCATCCTGCAAGTTTAAGTGTGTTCAGGAAGCCAACAAAAGACGTAGAGTAAGGAAAAAAGAACGAAATGCTTGGTGGCTGACCAAAACGGTCTCCAGTTTGGTTTGCCTCCGGCGCCAAACGTTTGTGATCAACTGATGCCCTGAATGTAGGCGCTAAATCCTGCATTCTGGCATTTCACTGCCTGCATTTAGCACAAAAATAAATAAATAAAAACTGCACTTATCATAGATCGGCTTACGTACACATCACATTGAAACACCTCATTGACGTATAATCACCGGAGTTAAGCAACATTGAGCCAAGATGTGTGACCTCCTAGAAATACTAGATACTTTAAGTTTGTGTGTGCAGGTAGAGTAATGGGTTTATGGTACACATTACTTTCAAACCCTGTTCTCAAACGATCGTCAAAGTTGACTTATCACCAACTAGATGAGTGAGCTCTTGGGAATACCAGGTAATTTACGCCTGCAGGTGAAATAAGGGACTTGCTGTCATATGTTAAAACACTGGTTTCTATACGATCACTCAAGTTAAGCAATGTTGAGCTTAGTCAGTACCTAGAAGGGTGACCTTTTTGGAATACCAGCGACTGTAAGATTGAATTTGCACATGGGGTAATGGGCTTACGGCCATATGACGCTGAAATACCGGTTCTCGAAATATCTCCGAAGTTAATCAGCGTTGAGCCTGGTCAGTATCTAAATGGGTGACCGCTTGTGTATATTAGATGCTATAATCTTTGATGTGCGGTGGATAATGGCTAGGAATTATAAATGGCAGCTGGGGAAATTATATTCATTTACGCACAAATAAATTTAACCAAAGTAAATGTTCAGCTCTTCTTGCGTAGCAATTCATGAATTAGTAGGCTTAATATCACTAAACCATTATTATCTTACTTATTATAAAACGCAGATTGTGTGTGTGTCTCTACGTTTATATATTGGATCGAATTTCCTACATTTTTCAACCGATTTCAACAAAACTTCACAGGACTACGAAAAATTACCTTGCGGTGGTTCTGACAGCGCCAAAAATTGGAAAAACATAATTGTTTTTGCACAAAATCAATTTGAAAACACGATTAAGAGGCATAACGAGAATGACAGGGGGACAACTCATATCGAGTTATACTTATTATAAAACCAAGGTTGTTTGTGTATGTGTGTTCGTTTATATATGGAATCGGATTTCCTACATTTTTCAACAGATTTCAACAAAACTTCACTTTTTTTTTGGGCAGGTAGTGTTTCTTATTTTCTTGCACACTTTTTTCTTTATTTTTACATTCAGAATGCTTTAAAAATTCCATTTACAAGACAATTGTTTATAATAAAATTCTATTCAATCGGTAGACTCATAACGATTGAAAACAATGTTTTTGTTTCAGTTTGGGTTTGAACAATTCGTAAAAAAAATCAAAAAAACAAAACAAAAAAAAACTAATTAAGACATGCGTGTCCGTCAACCTTAAACAATAATCTTTGTCAATTTTATTTTTCAGTCTTTATGATGGTCGATACTTGATCTATCTCTTACTGTTACATTCCCGGGCAACGCCGGGCTCTACTGCTAGTCTCTAATAAAAAAAATTCTTAGAATTTTAAATTTTTCTGGATGCAAATAATCTGTAATGGGTTGATAAGGCGTAAAAACGAATCAATCAATCAATCAATCAATCTAATCTTGTGTGATTTTATATATTTTATTCATTTAATCTGAGTAATTTTATGCAACATGTTTCAATTATTTCACTCCAAGGAAGGCAATAAAATTACTAACTTACTGAGTGTAAGAGAATATGAGAGAAAAAATAAATAATATTACGGAGAGAGGACAATAAAAGAACAAGAATTAAGAAGACAGAAGATAACGATTGATATTGCATTTAAATTCTTGAAGATTAGAAACTGACTGTGAAGGAAGAAGCCGGAAGTGAATTCCACTAGTAAGAAGTGCGATAAAAGAAATCTTTGTGTGTCATACTGACAACACCCAGTTCTTGATAATGACTGAGACAATCGAATGTATTTGAACAAAACAAAATAATGAACTTTCTTTGTTTGGATGAATCCTACTAAAT